CTCCAAATACAGTAGTAATTAAATGCCATCCTTCTTTAATAAATAACCTGCTTATTTGTAGAAACACTGTAGCCACATCATCTAACATTTTTTAAGGCCTTTTGGATCTGGCATATTTTATTACACATTTCCTGTATACAGTTTCAGTTTATTAAGATGGAATAAACCCTCTTTAGGCTTATAGTCAAAGATTGATCCTAAGCACAAAGTAAAAGATATTTAACTCCAATATGGGATGGTTTCAGTCCTTTCTAGGATCTCAAGACTTTTTTTGGATGCCTCAATTCTGTTTTAGATATATTTTTTCATAGCAGGATAGTGGTTATTTTTGAGGGAAAAAAGGGGGAAAAAAAACCTCTGAGTAAAAATATTGAGTGATCTTTTAAAATTGTTCTATCTTTAGCATAACAGTAAAGAAACAAGCAACTTTTAAGGTCTAAATTCCAAATTTCACAACTGAAATCAAGTCATCATGGTCCTCTCCCCATATGCACTGAGTCCTTGACTGTATACAATTGTTTGCTGAGAACGAGTGAACTGGGAATCAAAATCTTTGTAAGCTCTTAATTCTGTCATTTAAAATGATGCCAATTTGATAGAATGGCATTCTCATTTTCCTCATTTGCTTCATTTTCTTCATTTGCAAAATTACTTTATGATAGTGGAGGAAAGCTACATTTGAAGAATGTTTATTGTGTGCTTTGAGGTCATTAAAGCTGAAATCACTTTGCATACCAAGTGGTAGTATTCATATCCTTAATATACTAAAGTTCTGATACAATCCACCTTTAAAGAATAACATATCATGACCAACAGTTTATGCACAATTCCATGTTGTAAATGTGTCTGCAGTAATTACTCCCTCCTCTGAAATCTTGACGTGAGCCTTGTCTGTGCCACTCACATTGGGACTTCGTATCAGCTATTTTCTACTGTTATTTATCTTTAGATGCATATGTCCTCTTTATTCAAACAGATTGTGAGCTCTTGAGGGTGGGGGTTGTGTATCCCTAGCTTCTAGCAATGTGCCTTGCACTTAATAGATGTTTAATCAGTCCAGTTGATAATTAGAGGATGTTCAGTCAGAAATACAGCTTCTCATTCTCCTGAACCAAGACTTAGTTGTGGGATTTATTCTGCCATCGGAAAGTTGTTACTATCAAAGAGGGGAACATATATCACTTGCTAACGTTTGCACTTTTGATAGTCTCCCAACAAGCACTTGAGTTCAACTGGAACGATACTAGCTGACAGTATTTAACCATCAAATATGTTTTACTGATGAGATATTTATCTATAGCATAACATAATCCATTGATCATTATCATATACATTTGGTTATCATTTATTAAAGACTGGCAGTAACTACATTAAAATATCTATAACGTTTACTCAGTAGAGGTATGAATAGTTTTGTTTTTTCATTATCTTTATTTTTTCTAAATTCTCCATAGAAAATTTAATTATTCTTATAATCAGAAAAAAATGTGACGTTTGAAAATTTTTGTTTCTATTCTGGTAACCAAAGTATGGAAATTTTTAATGATATAAATGCCATTCTACATATTAAATTCTCATTTAAATTAAAATTTAACATGGGAAAGACTAACTGCCAGAATGCATTTTGACAAGGGCGATACTTAATTGACAGAATTGAAAAGGGCAGTACCAAAATAAACATAGACACTACTCATTAAAACTCCTCTAAGATGTTTTAAATTAGCATGACAATATTCCATTTGTTAATTAAAGCCAAAAAACACAAATTTCTTCTCTCCTCATCTCTAATCAGTGAAGTTTGGAGCTGGGTATACCTGCCTCCATCTTCAGAGGAACCAATAGCAAGGATGGAGACTAAGATTGCTAGCCCAAGGGAAAACTGCTGTTGAATTACTGACGGTGAATACTAAAATCAATATTGTTTAATACTAAAAAGCATGAAGGAATGCGTCTATTCCACATCCCGCCCAGTGAATATGCTTATATAATTTCTTATTATATGCCCATTTCTTAGGCACACATTTATTACTAGCAGGAATTCAGAGGGATCATTATTTAGTAAGAAAAAGTTTCAGGCAAATTGTCTCAGACGGGTATTTAAAGATATCCATTCTTGACAACACCAGCAAATTTCATTGAGACTGCTTTGGTGACAGGATACACCCTTTCAGAATACAACTTGATGGAGATGAAGGATTTCAAGAGACATTAGTCTAATGTAGGCTTTGAAGCAAAATGGAGACGAGCAACTCTTGCCTAAATCCATCATGTTTTCTATAAGTTCATCTTTCATCCACCTTGTTCCAGCATCTGTCACTTACTTAGGCAAAGTATGATATTGAAAGAGTACATTAACCTGGCTTAATATCAAATATTTTATGTTTGTTATCAGTTCTGTATCACTCTAGATTGTCATCAGGAGTTATTCAATCAAAAGGTTTAGTCAAAGCTAACATTTACTGATATCTGTTTTTCTCAAGAGTGTTGAAAATTTGACTGTTCAAAGTGCAAGTGTGATTCAGCAAACCATTTATCAGAAAACCTAAAGAGGTAGTGTTAGAAAAGTGGATTGAGAAACCCGAATTAAATGGGTTTTAGCAGCCAAAGACTTTGAAACTGCTTTCCTGTGAGTGACTGGAATGGAGCAGAACAAAGTCAATTACTGACTGTAATTAAGAAGTGGATGCGTTTAAACTGTAGAGAGCAGTAGCAGACTTCTCCAGACTGCCTAGTAACTCAAAAGATTAGTGGGAAGACAGAGGAAAGGATGTAAACTGTATCTCTCTGATAGTATGTTTTGAATGAATTGCATTCATATAGTTCTCTGACCCAGCTTCCCAAAATGAATTCATAAATCACTGATTATGTACGATTAATGCAGTAATATATTTGGGCAAAGAAACTTTTAAAATACATCTTGCTTTTGGTTGTGTTAGCAGTAAAGATCCCCTTTGCATTGCACAGCATGCACCAAAAATGCAAATGCACTGTTGAAATGCTTATATTTTATCATGGTTTGAATTTACTAGACTGGAAACTGAACTATGTTGTCTCTTTCCTAAACCCTCAGAATACAGTAAATCTAATTATGTTTATTTCTGGTACTTTGAAAACGTTCCTTTCTATAATTTTAATAATGGTTTATTTCTAACAATAGAAAAATATGTTACATTGTACATTGTGTTTTGGCTAATTCATTTTTCTTTGTGTATGTTAGCAAATTGTGACATTATATAATACATTCACAATCAAAATATTTATGTTTAGATTAGGATGAAGGTAGAGGTCAAGGACGTTACTAATTTTCTTGGGTTAGTTAGAAGTGACCTTATATTTTTAGATTACTATTTCTGTGGCAACACATTATAAAATAAATATTTGGAGCTTTATGTAAGTAAAGAACACTGCAAGGGTGTTCAGATAATTAAACAAACAATCAGCTTAACTATCTTTTACTAGATACATAAAACAGAGGACTATTTGGAGGCTATTTTGAGCCATCCCAAATCTTACATGCAGTTTTACTTAAAAAAAAAAAAGTGATTGGCCCTGGTAATCTGTCAAATGCTAGTGTGGGTAATTAAATTTCTCTTATTTTCTAATCTTTCACTTCTCATAATTGTATGTACTTTGGATAGTTCCTCTTCTTACAATTGTCAAAAGTTGGAATCCAACTCACTCAAGAATGGTTGCATTGCAGCACTGAGTAATGTTCCATCTCTAAGTAGTTGTTTTCCAAAAATCAATGCAAATAAATATATATGTATGTGTATAGTCAAAGATTTCTTTAATACTCCAGGATCGTTGCCATTAAATATTGCCGTAAAAATCACCGAAACCTTCAGAGTGAGCTATTTGGGGTAATAATTGTCACTTTACTGATAGAATTACAGAGATATTATATAGCATGATTGGTGATTTTCTGAACCGATGCCACATTTCAGCATTCACTTCCGATTTGGAGAAAGTCAGGCTGAGAAGAGGGGACTGGCTCCTGACTGAGTATGTTGAAATGTCAGTCCTCTAAACCTCAGAAGCCTTGCTTGATGTGTGACAGTAGTTGGGAAATATTCATTTTCCTTTTGAAACAAAAAGTCAATAACACAAAGGGAAAATCTTCACAGTTCAGATTGATGGTCTAATACAAAAAGTGTTGCACACCCACTCTAATCAAATTCTTCTCTAAGTAGTCCCTTACCGTGTGAAATCAAGAGCATTGCTCTGTATTCTATGGGATCACATCTTTCTCTCACAATTCCAGGGAGAAAGATTCCCTGTAATGGAAAACGTATAGTTGCATGCTAAATATTGCCAACTACTTAACAGCCCTCAGAGTCTGGAACAGGAATGTTCATTTGATAAATACTCTCCATGAGAGGTTCCAATATGTAAATGAACTTTTATTCTAAAGTACTCCCTTTGTGGGGAAATTGGTCCTTTATTATTTTCCTATAGATCTTTTTGATAGGAAAGTAGAAATAGCCAAATGTTATTCATTAGAATGACCTTTTAGTAAAGTCTGCATTAGTCTCTTTGGTAAATAATCTGTTTTAGTGCCCTCCATAAAAGGAAATCAAATATAGAGATACTATTAGATTTGAAAAAGACAAACAGGAAAGAGCCAAAAGTGCAGAATGAATTCTGACACACCCGGGTGCATTTTTCTGAGGTTCTGACTTAAGTGGATACTGTCTGCATTATTCTGAACTTCCTGGCTTGCTTCTGCATGAGTTGGAGTAATTCAGCTTTAGACTACTCTGAGTTTAATCATTCTGTTATTAAAACAATAATGTATTTGTTATGACATGAAAAAAACAGTTTATGGAGAGCAGTTCAAAATGATCCTAGTCTTCCAGTTCCCAGAAAGACAATTACGGGAATGCAAGAAAATATTTCAGTGTATTAAAGTGTGTTTTTTTAAAAAGGATATATTTTTTAACTGTAAGAGATCTAGTTCAATGGTTTGCTTACCTGTCGTTTTTGTTTGTTTGTTTTTTTAGATCACAACGGTATCAGGAAATGAGTTTCTTCTGCAGTCAGATATTGACTTCATCATATTGGATTGGTTCCACGCTATCAAAAATGCAATTGACAGATTGGTATGTATTTGTTTTGGCTGTTACCTGATTAATTAGAAATGTAGTCATTTAAATCTATTGCTTAGGTATATAACGCACGTACGTTTAAATGGATCCTACAAATTGAGAGTTATTAAGTTATTTTAAGTTTAAATAGAGTCCACTAAAAACATTTTCAGCAGACAGAACTTGTGGAACTAAACGTCATTTGATTTCTCTTTCAAAAACACAGTGCATTCTTTTTTTTTTTTCTGAAATAACACATTCATTTACTGAAGGCTGTAAAAAGCCCATAAGAGCTTAATAACTATGAATTTTCACATTTTCAGTATATGCAATCTGTAATACATCTTCTTGAAAATAAATATCAGTGTATTTAAGCCCATATTCACTGTTGTAATACCAGTAAACAATAATCCTTTGTACTGATTTTCATTGTTTCAGCTAAGCTAGATTGTTCTCTTGAAAATTACATATCTAGAACTTCATGAAATTCTAAATCACATACTTAGAGTATGTTCTTAAAAGAGTCAAATTATTTAAAGCCACTCATTTTGTACTTTTTCTAGGCCAAACATCTCATTTTAGATCACTAGTATTTGCAAAATCTTGAGGAGAAAATATTTTTGAGAGCTTTAATAAGGTAAAAAATAAAAATACAACATTTTTGTGTAATTTTATTGCTATTTAATTGTAGACTAATTATATTATGTTGGGATCAAAACTTTAAAAAAAGTAACAAATTTACTTTTCCTCATCCTCAATATAGTACCCTCATCCAAGCATATATGGGTGCATGCATGCACGCATGCGTGCACACACACACACACAAACACACACACAGAGTTTGTTGTCATTAAGATTGGACTGTGGAGTCAAACTGCCTGAGTTTGAATTTGAATCCCAGTTCTATCATTTACTAGCTGTGTGGCCTTAGGCAAATTACTTATCTCTTTTGGCTTCAGTTTCCTTGTCTGGAAAATAAGGCTAATGTTAATAATACCTACCTCATAGGATTACTGTGATGACTGAGTTATGCATGGAGTGCTTAGGGTAGGCACGGTATCTAGTTAAGTATTATATTTATAATTATTATTATTACTAAGTTTGAATATTGAGCTTAGTATTGAGGCCCTATCCCAAAATAATTATCTTATTTCAAACTTCCTTTTAATCTAACATCAAAATATATCACAGAAACAGTTCATAAATGTTTTCTTCCTTGTAAAATTATTCCATCTAATTGTTGTTTCCAGCCAAAGGATGCAAGCAGTCCTTCAAGAAACCTGGAATTATTCAAAATTCAGAGATCCTCCAGTACTGAATTACTGAGTCACTATGATAGTGATATAAAAGAACAGAAACCTGAGCACAGAAAATCTTTAAGTAAGTATTTTTTTTTTACTTGCTCATTTTAACTTTGTTTAAATGCACTGCTTATGAAATATAAATGCTTTGAAATGAGGTTTGAGCCAAACTCATACTACTTATGGAAGATTGGTAGCCATTTCCTAGCTGGGGATTCGTGCACTGGAGGGCAGTATGGGCGCTTTGCTCACGTCATTGTTGGTAATGCCTTTCGAGAAAATAATTGTTCCAAGGTCATGGTCTCTGCTTACAGCAAACCTCTGAATCTCTGAGTAATAACCATGGCGTTCAGATTGGTGATTGATTTTGAGAGTGGGAAATGTCAAGCGTCTCCAAACCTTGGTATGCTGACTATTTGGTTTCCATACATTAAAAGATATATGAGTGACCAGCACAGTTGGCCCAGCATAAACCAACAGGCTAAGCAGCTTTCCATACTTTTAGAACTCCAGAAAGATTTAGAAACATGGAATTTGTATTAGATGTCCTCCAAGGTCACATGTAGTTCTAACATTCTGAGAGAAACGAGTTTGAAGTAAGAAGGATCTGTTTGTCCCCTTATATAGTGACCTTGAGCCCATACCTTAGTCTTTTTCACCTCACTTCTTCAATAAAAGGGGGTTATGAAAAGGTGTCATATGTATCTCAGGGTTGGTAGGGGTCTCAACCTCCAGAAAGAACAAGTAGATATCTCTGAAATCAGAGAGAAATAATTTCCTGAAGTCTTAAAAGTTATAGTCCTTTCCTGGATCAGCTACCTAGCTACCCCCAGTCTTCTGCAGGCAGAGGCTCTGCCACTGAGCTATACCCGCTTCCCTGCAATATTCTGCATCACTGTTTTTCCTGCCATTTCCCTCTGACCAAAGATCAGTATAGTTATACTGTAGCTTTTTGAATTTAAGGAGAACCCAGGAAGCAGAGAAAGGCTGAGTATATAATATCTACATATGTACATGAGTAAATATGCTCGATGACTATATATATATCTATTTGTGTGCATTAGGGAATAATATATTGTATTGATGTATATATAAATATACATGCACACTCACCCCCATGACAAGAAGTTATATGTGATAATGTATCTTCCAAATCTAAATTATTAGGAGCCCAAATCTAAAAACAACTTTGAGTAGGAGCAGCCTTTCAAAATTATCATTATTCAAAGAACTATAGCATAATTTCAGCAACTGCTAGATACATATTTATTTAGCCAGTTGTGTTAAGTTAGAGCTTAAAATTATCAATATCAATGTCTTATACTGTATGGTGCTTTCAAATTAAGTTATTTGTGGAATATTAGCAATGCCATTTAAAAAAAATTTCATGTGATGGCCTAGTTTGGAGTTATCTCATTTGAAGATTCCTCTTTAATTCCTGGTCACTGTCCCACTTCATATGGGACAGATTTTAGAATCAGAATTCAATCGTGAGTTCAGAGTTAATGTTAACTGCATGAACATTTTGTAGTAGATATAAAAGGACGTATGAGACAATGAGCAGTAGCTCTGGAATCTCAGATGTAGTCGTCAGTTTGGAGGAGACTGTGACACATTTCCAAAGCCTAAAGCTCAGGAGAAATTTAAGGTTTGTAAAAGTGTGTTGAGAAACGTTGAGGTAAATGGATTCTGTGTTAGCAGTAGTCCATTGAGCTGTTTCAGACCATAGTTCGGAAACAAAATTCCTATGGGTATGAATGCCAGCACTTCTCTTTAGAATTTATTTTTAACTGGGAAAGATAATTATTTGTCTATTTTGGGCTTAAATTCAACCTTGCCTTAAAGACAAGGAAAGAGACATATGATTCATTCTGTTCATTTCAAAATATACTTAATTAAACAATGACCTCATAGACAGCTTTTTCTTTGCAGTTAAAAAATAATGATAGCTAACAAATACTGAGTATTTACCATTCAGGCATTGTTGTAAGTGCTTGTCTTATGTTGATTTACTTAATCCTCCTCCTAAGCCAATGACATAGGTACCATTATTAACCCTGTTTTATAGATGGTGAAACTGAGACACAGAAAATTAAAGCAACTTGTTCAAAGACAAGTTACAGAGACAAGTGTCAAACCCAAACAATCTGATATTAGTCTGTCCTTTTAACCATCACACTATAGTGAAGTGAACAAATAAAAATTAAACAGTTTATATCAATCTTGGACTTGTATGGAAATATTAACATTAAAAATGAGATCCATATAAATCAATAAACTAAAATAGGGACTCAAAAACATGTCAGCAAAGGAATTAAAACCAGATGTTGTCTTTGGACTTTTATTTCACCATTAAACTAAAAGGGTCATTTAATCTTTAATGCTAGCCCTAATTTTAGAAGATGCTTCTTTTCTGTATTTTGGTGGATATTTATAGTTGCAAGTCTTTTTTAGGGCTAGTATATTTTTTGCAACGTAGGATACAGTTAATATCCATCTATTAGTTTGAGTGAAGTTCATTCAGTATTTACGTATTCATTTTCATTTGAAAGGCACAATGACTGACCCATCCACACAATATCAAATTAGACTATGCATTTGAAATAGTGATTGGCATATTTTATATTTAATACTTTTAAAAATATTTTTTTTCAAGTAGGAAATAGGCTCTGTGAAACCTCTCTGATCTCAGTCCCAGATTTGAACACCCAAACTTAGGTTTTTAAAACGTTCATTCGGTTTTATGTCATCCTCTTGAGATTGAATAATTATGTGGAATTAGAGAGTCACAGTATCTCCTTCCTTATTAGAAGTCTAAGCACAAACTTTATTGTCAGTTTGCAGCCTTTGGCTTCCTGTGCCCTTGATGTTCCCACGAGTTTTGTCGCCAAGATTGTAGACAGATAAAGCCAGAATTACTTTTTTTAAAAGCATGTGAACATCATTAGCAGCTAACAGGTGGTCATTTCATTGTCCAGTTTCTCTGTATGACATGGGAGAAAAATAACGTACTTTCAATGAGTGAATTCAGAAATTCAAGTGCTTAAAGTACTTCCCTTTTTAAAATATGATTCTAACCTGCCAACGCTATTAAGTACTAATCAGATATTTTAAGATATCATTTGAGTCTAACAGACAAGAAGCCAGAAAATTCAATGTAAGGGCCAAATCACTGTGGGAAATTCAGGACACCAGCATGGGATGAGAGTGGGAGAGCAGCTCTCCAGGGAGGGCTGTTACGGAAAGTGGAGAGTCAATCAAAGAAAATGCTAACATATTTTTCCGAGGAAGGAAAAGTGTCTTCCCCTGAAGACAAAGGGGAAAGACTCAAATATAAATCCAACAAATCTTGGAGTGGTTTCTTAATTTTTCTGAGCTTTACTTTCTAGATCTGCAAAAATGGGTCTACTGCTGTCCTTGTAGGATCGAGTGAGAATTTGAAATTAGATATGTAAATACTTAGCTCACAGCAGGCACTCAGTAAGTAGGAGCTCGTATTGTTATCCTCTGTGTCCCCAAGCAGATGGCACCAAAATAGGGCATGAGCCAAGGGTGGTGTCTGATGGAAGACTGGAGCAGGGTATGTGTACTTGACATCCTCTCCCTGAGTGCACAGAATTGGATATGGGAGTTATGGCTGCAAACATCTAAATGTGAGCGGCTGGTCTTTCCCTTGGCAACTCCCCAGGTGGAAATGGCAGCCAGGGCATTCTTGGGAGTAGCACACCAGCAAACAGTACAAGGGAGCCAAGAGAGACTCCTGATCCTTTATGCCCCGAAGAGTGGGTCATCAAGGAGTTCCAGTTGCTGAAAAGGATTCAGCATCTAGCCATTTTGCTATGACTTTAGCCATAACTCTAGTTTATTCACTCATTCATATATTTATTATTTTTCATTAGCAGGTACATCTGAAGGTACACAACTAAAATTCTTGGCTCCATTCATCTGTACTTTCAATTTTTAAAAATTGTTTTTGTATTTAGATTATGCTTTAGGGGTAAGATGTCTGATGCTAATCAACTGCTAAGCTGTAAAATCCATGTGTGGAGATCTTGGATAACTTCTATTCAAAATTGATACTTAGCATTATAAATAAGCAGCTCAAAATGAACATAAGTTAGAAGAATACAATCAAAATTTATAGAACCAGAAGGAAATCGGTATCCTTTTAGCTGTCTTTTGATTAAGGTATCATAAAAACCAAATGTGTTCTGAGTGAAATTCTAAAAATACTGAGATATGGATTTCCCTGTTCCATATCTGATAAGGGTGTTGTGCAAGGCTTCAGGAATAAAGACAGAAATGGAAAAATTGCATCGAGATATTTATACAACGTAGAAAATGAAAATGCTTGTGAAACTTAGTGATATCTTTGTTTAAAATTTGCTTGCAAATTATGATCATGCCAAGTGAAAACAAATATGATAGAGAAGGCAGTTAGTTTTTATGCTAATCTAAATAATTGTAATACAAGCCATCCACAACTGTAAGTAGACTGTATTCTCAAAATCCAGTTGTAAACTAGCTGCTTATACCTCAGCACATTTTCATAAGGAAACTGTACCAGCCACAAAAGCACACTTGAATCTTATGCAGTCATTTAGAGTCATTGTTTCTAGGGAACAGTGCATTCTGAGTTTGTTGCACCCCTGCCCCTAGGAGCTCTGTCTTCCCAGTAGCATTGCTTTCCATCTGATTTGCCTTTTCCTTCCCACCCACTCCCGCACCAACTTCACCAACGCAATTAGGATTCCCAGAATGGCTTTGACTAGGAGGCCCCTGGACCCTGAAAATCCCCAGTTGGTGGCAGGGATGGAATGCATAAAGTCCAAGCCAGAAGAAATAGTGAGAAAAGGAGAGAATACAGGACTGGGAGGAAGTTTTTGCAGCATGGACAGGGAAGAGAGTCCTCAGCAAGGGTAGATGTTTTTTGTGGGCAATGTATGTAATGACAGATAAGTCTAGCATTGTCCCAAATGTTCACATTTGTTGAATCTAGATGGTGTCTACATAAGTGGTCATGGTGCTATTGTTTTCTGTATGTTTGAAAGTCTCACAATTAAAAACGGGTAAACATAC